TAAATGAAGGATCGCCTATGCACTTCTTCAACATAGAGATATGAAAAACCGGATGAACCGCTTCTAGTTCATGTGGTAACTCCAACTCATAAGCAACATTGCTAATTCTCTTGGCTATGCGGTAAGGTCCAATATACCGGGTACTAAGTTTCCCCTTCTTACCAAACCTCATAACCCCTTTCATGGGTGAAACTTTCAAATATACCCAATCGTCTACTTTGAACTCTAACGCCCTTCTCCTAACATTAGTGTAGGATTTCTGACGACTCTGTGCCGTTTTCAACCTCTCTTGAATTACTTTCACCTTCTCCATAGCCTGGTGAACTAAGTCTGGTCCTATCAACCCTGCTTCACCAACTTCGAACCATCCAATAGGAGATCTACATCTTCTCCCATAAAGAATTTGTAAGGAGCCATCTGGATGCTAGAGTGATAACTGTTGTTGTAGGCAAACTCAATGAGAGGTAGGTGATCATCCCAATTATCTTTGAAATCGATTACACAAACCCTCAACATATATTCTAAAGTCTGAATAGTACGCTCTGTTTGCCCATCAGTCTGAGGATGAAAGTTATACTTAAGTTCACCTTCGAACCCAAGCCTTTCTGAAAAGATTTCCAGAACTGTGCAGTAAACTGTGCACCTCTATCTGATATAATGGAGATTGGGACTCCATGAAGTCTCACTATCTCTTGACTATATAACTTGGCATAATCTTCTGCTGAAAGGGTAGTCTTTTCCGGTAGAAAATGAGCTGACTTTGTCATTCGATCGACAATTACCCAAACAGAATCATGTTGTCTGCGAGACCTTGGCAACCCTGTGATGAAATCTATATTGATCATCTCCCACTTCCATTCGAGAAGTTCTATTCTCTGAGCCAAACCAACGGGCCTTTGGTGTTCAACTTTCACTTGTTGGCAATTTGGACACTTAGCAACAAACTCTGCAATGCCCTTCTTCATGCCATTCCACCAATACACTTCTCTCAAGTCACGATACATCTTCGTGGAACCCGGATGAATGGAATATCTAGAGCTACGAGCTTCCTCCATAATCCTTTCTTGGAGTCCATCTACCATAGGTACGCACAATCTACCTTGATACCTCAAAACACCATCTCCCCCTTGTTCAAAAGCTAATACTCTTTGCTTTTGAACATTTGCCTTCAACTCAAGTAAAATGGGATCTTGATCTTGTTTCTCTTTCACTTCTGACACTAGTGATGACTCGGCCCCATTCACCACCGCTATTCCTCCTTCTGCGGAATCTATAAGTCTAACTCCCAGGCATGCCAGTCTGTGAACATCTTTTGCTAACTCTCTCCTTCCTTCTTCAATATGGGCGGTGCTACCCATAGACAACCTGCTCAAAGAATCAGCAACAACATTAGCCTTACTTGGGTGGTAAAGAATACTCAAGTCATAGTCCTTGAGTAATTCTAACCACCTCCTCTGTCTGAGATTAAGCTCTTTCTGAGTAAGCACATATTGAAGGCTCTTATGATCAGTAAATATGTCGACATGCACACCATACAAGTAGTGACGCCATATTTTCAAAGCAAATACTACAACAGCCAACTCTAAGTCATGGGTTGGGTAGTTCTTCTCATGAACCTTTAACTGTCTGGAGGCATAAGCTATAACATTGCCATTCTGCATTAAGACACAACCCAAACCAACTATAGATGCATCGCAATACACCACAAAACCTTGAGTACCATCTGGTCAGGTCAAAACTGGAGCAGTAATCAACCTCTTTTTCAATTCCTGAAGCTCTTCTCACAAGCTTCCGACCATTGAAATTTCACTGCCTTCTGAGTCAACTTAGTCAAAGGAGATGCAATAGATGAGAAACCCTCTACAAACTTTCTATAATAGCCAGCTAATCCCAAGAAACTCCTAATTTTGGTTGGAGATGTGGGTCTAGGCCAATTCTGCACTGCCTCTATTTTTCGAGTATCAACTTTAATTCCATCACCGGACACAATGTGGCCTAGGAATGCAACAGACTTAAGCCAAAACTCACACTTAGAGAACTTGGCATACAACTCCTTATCTTTTAGAGTCTGAAGAACTATTCTGAGATGGCGAGCATGATCTTTTTCATTCCTTGAATAGATTAGTATGTAATCAATAAAGACAATAACAAACATATCTAAATAAGGTTTGAAGACTCTATTCATCAAGTCCATGAAAGTTTTCGGTGCATTGGTCAAACCAAAAGACATGACCAAAAACTCGTAATGACCATATCTGGTCCTGAAAGCTGTCTTTGGAATATCACATTCCCTTACTCTTAACTGATGATAGCCTGATCTGAGGTCAATCTTTGAAAAACAAGTGGCACCTTGAAGCTGATCGAAAAGATCATCAATCCTCGGAAGAGAGTACTTATTCTTGATAGTAACCTTATTCAACTGACGGTAGTCTATACACATCATAAAGGAACCATCTTTCTTTCTCACAAACAAGACCGGAGCACCCCAAGGTGAGACACTCGATCGAATGAAACTCTTATCTAGTAGATCTTTCAACTGCTTTTTCAACTCTGCTGGTGCCATTCTGTAAGGCGGAATAGAGATAGAACGAGTATTTGGAATGAGATCTATACCGAACTCTATTTCTCTCTCAGTGGGAATTTCGGGTAGATCATCAGGAAAAACTTCTGGAAACTCTCTTACTATAGGAACTGACTGAAAATGAGGTATCTCAATACTAGAGTTATGAACTCGGACTAAGTGATAGATACAACCCTTTGAAACTAACTTTCTCGCCTTAAGGTACGAAATGAAACGACCCTTAGGCACTGCTAAACTACTACTCCACTCTATGACTGGTTCACTCGGAAACTGAAACTTGAGAGCTCGAGTTATACAATCTATCGATGCATAATAAGCATGAAGTCAATCCATACCTAGAATGACATCAAAATCTACCATGTCTAACTCAACCAAATCAACCATGGTGCTCTTGTGATTGATAGAAACAGGACAATCACAATAAACTCTTTCTGCTAAAATAGACTCCCCAACAGGTGTAGAAACACAAAAGGGTTCACAAAGTCTTTCAGGAAGAACATCAAACTTATTTGCAACATAAGGAGTTACAAAAGATAAACTTTCTCCTGGATCTAGCAAAGCATACACATCAAAAGCAAAGATTTTAACCATACCAGTAACTACATTTGGAGAGTTCTCTTGCTCATGGCGATTGGTAATTGCATAGAGGCGGTTTCTTCCTCCGTCGGTACTAGAAATAGCTCCTCTAGGTGTCGTCCTGTCTGGTGGAACAACTGAAGAAGACTGTGCTCTATTGCCCCCATTATCCTGTCTATTCTTTGGACACTCTCGCATGAAATGTCCATTCTGATCACACTTGAAACAACCAATGGAGCCCTCTCGACACATACCTGAGTGGTTCCTACCACACTTGGCGCAGGCAGGGGGCTTAATACTCTCTTGCGCCACACTACCCGAAGATTGTGCTGGTCTAGCCTTGAAGTCCTTCGAATTCTGGCCATTAAATTCACCTTTGTATCTGGGTGCAGGTGCTCTAGCAGATGATGGAGCAGGTCCCTTTTGCTAGGGGTGTGCAAAAACTGAACCGACCGATAAACCGAACCGAAAAAAGTGTTATTGGTTTATTGTTACCGGGTTATTGGGTTAACGGTTATTTAATGGTTTTACAAAAAAAAATTATTGGGTTATCGGTTTGTTATTGGTTTTTTAATATTGGTTATTGGGTTAACCGATAACCCATTAAGAATATAATAATAATTTTTAGTTATATATATATAATATTAAACAAAAAATATTAATATAATTAGTAGTATATTAGACTAAAAATATAAAATTCCTACGCAATAAATAATAATTGACATTACTTAATACTTAACACTAGCAGAATCCCCTCTCTACTATTTAACCTTTAGGTTTTACATTTTAGGACTACTTATTTACTTTAGGTAGGTCAAAACTCAAAACCTAAAGAACGGCGACGACAAGGATTTGTGAGTTGCGACGACGACAACAACGACAAGTATTAGGTGACGACTAAGGTTGTGAAACTGAATTGTGAATATTTGCTCTGTCTTGAAACCATTTCATGATTTGTTGCCTTCATTATTGTCTAATTCATAGTTTTCTTAAGAAACTCTTTTTTTGTTTTCCAGTGATGATCTTTTTAATTTCTCTTTAGTTAAATTGGTTTACCTTGAAACTATTTCATGATTTGCTGCCTTAATTATTGTCTGATTCATTTTGTAACAAAGACATATACATGACTGAAAATATTATAACTGATGAGGTGGTTGTCCTGGTCGATGAAAGTATTAATTCAAATGCTACACGTCAAACAAAATCTGTTCAGTTAAAGGTAAAGAAAGAAAGAAAGAAAAGATCTCGGGCATGGGATCATTTCGGATCTTTTGTTGATGAAGAAGGGAATAAGAAATCCATGTGTAAGCATTGTGGTGCAGATTATTTTGCTGATTCAGGTAAAAATGGTACTACGTCAATGCTTACTCATATGTTAACATGTCCAAAGATGCCTCGAATTGTTGATAAAAATCAAACCTAAATAGGCTTTAAAACAGTTCAAGGGGGTGATACGGATGATGTGGTTGTTGTTTCCTGGAAATTTGAGCAAGCGCAATGTAGGAGAGCTTTATGTCGCATGGTGATTGTGGATGAACTCCCTTTCAAATTTGTCGAGAAGGAAGGTTTTAGAAACTTTATGAAAGTAACGCAACCTCATTTTAAGATTCCTTGTTGTACCACTGTGACGCGTGACTGTTTTAAACTTTTTGATGCGGAGTAACAGAAGTTGAGGAGATCTTTTGGAGAAGCACAACAAAGAGTTAGTCTTACTACTGATACTTGGACCTCTTTGCAGCGAATTAATTATATGTGTATCACTACACATTGGATCGATAAAGAATGGATGATGCATAAGAGGATAATTAGCTTCTGTCAAGTTTCTAGCCATAGGGGTGAAGATATGGCTAATGAGATAAGTAAGTGTTTACGTGATTGGGGGTTGGATAAAAATTTTACCATCACAGTTGATAATGCTAGTTCGAATGATGTGACTGTGAAAGAGTTGTCGAAGATATTCACCAAACGGGGTACCAATTTTATGAATGTAGAACACCTTCATGTGAGGTGTATGGCACATATTCTAAATCTTGTTGTTCAAGATGGTTTGAAAGTGTCGGCTGCTTCTATTGGACGGGTTAGAAAAGCAGTTAAATACATTAGGTTGTCTCCTACAAGGTGTAAGAGGTTCCATGAATGTGCTAAAGATGTTGATATCAATTGTAAGAAATCTTTATGTTTGGATGTTTGTACGAGGTGGAACTCCACATACTTGATGTTGAACAGGGCTATTGAGTTTGAAAATGTGTTTTCCAGTTATGTTGATCGTGATATTGGTTTGTTGCATTACCTTCAATTTGTTGAGGATGAAGATGAAACTGCTGCCGGTGCACTTTCGAGTGATGACTGGAACAATGTAAAGAAAGTTGTTGATTTCCTTCAAATCTTCTATGATCTTACTAGAGAAGTATCTGGATCACAGTACGTTACATCAAATTTACACTTTCTTAAGATTTGTGAAGTTTCTTGTTATTTGAAAAAAATGATAGTGAGTGAAGATGACATTGATGATCTTTTGGGTAAAATTGCTAAAAATATGAGAGAAAAATTTGATAAGTATTGGGGTACTCCTAACAAAATGAATAAGATGATTTTTATTTCTTGTGTTTTGGATCCTCGACACAAGTTTGTTTCGGTTGGCTTTGCACTTCAAATGATGTTTAGAAAAGAAAAAGGACTAGTTCTAGAGCATGAAGTTAGAGGCTACATGGATTTAATGTTTGGTGAATATGTAAAGTCTCTTTCAAAAGATAAAGATAGTCATCACTCTTCATCTTTATCTAGCTCTTCATTTGAAAAGTTCAGTTCACTGCCTTCAAGTTCAGATAGTACTGTCCAATCAATTGGATCTTTGGGGTCATTCATGGTTGATCGAATGAAACATAAAGCTGGAAATGCTACAATTGTTAAAACAGAATTGCAAAAATATCTTGGTGAAGAAAATGAAGTTGAAACCAAGAACTTTAACATCCTGTCTTGGTGGAAAATAAACTCACCTAGATTTCCAATTCTTGCCGAGATGGCTCGAAATGTGTTAGCTATTCCTATTTCAAGTGTGGCATCCGAGTGTGCATTTAGCACTGGTGGACGTATTTTGGATTCATTTAGGAGTTCATTAACTCCTAAATTGGTGCAAACTCTAGTGTGCCTTCAAGATTGGATTCAAAGTGAATCACGACATGTTAGTGTTGAGGAAGATATAGATGTCCTTGAACAACTTGAACAAGGTAAGCATATTTTTATTGTATTCGTTTCTTATTGGTATTATAATCAGTCGTTAATATTTTTCTAAATGATTAACATTAATTCTTTATAGATTTGGCTAATACTAGCATTCTTGATAATTAACATGGAGTTGAAGCTCTTCTTTGTTGCATTTGGATGTGGACATTTGGTAAGTTATTCTTAATTCTAGATACAAGTTATTTTAACTTGTGTATTTTCTTAAAATAAGTTATGACGATCTGGACATTTAGTACTTTTATTTGATGTTGATTTCAACTGTAGAGATGGTATTAATTTTAGTTTGTGTTTTGGTTGCCCATTATGTTAGTATTAAATGTTGAAATACTTCACAACTCTTTTCCACTTTTTCTTCCAGGCTTGAGATTATCTTGGTTAGGAAATTAATGAAGATTTTGTTGATTATCTGATGGATTTGGTAGCTGTTAAAGATAGTTCAAGATAAACTGCCGATTTACAACTGGGCTTGGTTCTAATTAGTTTTAGTTTATAATTGACTAATATTAGCTTTTGCACGATTGTAAATATTAAAAATTGACCAAAGACTTTGTTGTGATGACCCCCGTTTAGTATGATTATTTTGATGTATGCGTATCGTCAAATTATTGGATAAGTCATACATTTATTTTGAAAGCATTTTCTTATTGGTTAAACCGAAAATCGAACCGTTAAAGACCTAAAACCGATAAACCAAAAATCGATAACAAATATCTTATTGGTTTGGTTATCGGTTTAGCATATTTAAAAACTGAAAATCGATAAACCGAATCGATAATGCTTAAAACCGAACCGAACCGACCGATACACACCCCAACCTTTTGCCTTTGCTGGAAGGACGGACGATTCACATTACCTTTCTACTGCCCGGACTCATTACCGGTCTTGGCTCTCTTACTTCTGAACTCTTTTCTGTCCCTTAGCTTCTCTTCCTCAACCTGTTGTACATAGACCATTAACCTGGATATGTCCATGTCCCCGATAAGCATTGCAGCCCTACCTTCCTTACTTAACAACCGAGATAGCCCAGCAACAAACAAACTCATTATATTCCTCATGTCCGCAACCATCTCCGGAGTATAGCGGGATAGTTGTGTGAACTTCAAACTGTACTCATGAACACTCAAGGACTCCTGCTTAAGTGTGAGGAACTCACGTACTTTGGCCTCTCTCAATTCTCGAGGAAAGAAATGCCCCAATAAAGCTTCCTCAAAACAGACCCAACTCACAGGTGGTGTATTCTCAGCTCTGCCCCCTTTCCACTAGTCGAACCACGTTTTAGCAACATCCTTTAATTGATACGCAGCTAGTTCAACCCGCTCAATATCTGCCACATGCATCACATCAAAAATCTTCTTCAACTCCTCAATGAAGTTCTCTGGATCCTCAGTAGTGCTTGAACCCATGAAACTCGGAGGATTCATCCCCAAGAACTCACGAATCCTTGAAGTGTCAGCTCCCTCATGTCGAGCTCCCATTTGCTGACCAATCTGATTGATTACAACTTGACTCGGATTTCTAATTGCCTCTCTGAACTCATCATTAGAAACTTCCCCTTGATCTTGCACTCCCGGGGCATAAGGTAACTCTTGCTCATCCACATAACGTCTAGGAAGACGCCCTCTGCAAACTCTTCATGGAGGCATGATTATCTGAAACACGCGCAAGCATGAATTAAAAGAAACTCTTTAGAGATAAACTCTAACGCACGAGATGAGTGTGAAAGAAGTGAGAAATCTTCCTAAATGTTGTAGCCTCCCAATTATAGATATGGCACGCTTCACACCGATAACTAGGACTCTGCAGACACGACTTCATAGACTCCCTAGGACTCTTGAACTCTGGATCTGATACCAAGTTTGTCACGCCCCGAGCCTACACCCTGGGCGGGACCGGCACCCGGAGACCATTACTGGCCCCAAGCGAACCCTTGGCCCGGCTTTCCAAACTCAGCGGAAACCTAACTCAACAGAATAACTCAATGCAAATGCAGGGTTACAAAACAACTTAACTTATAAAATTCTAGCCACAAAGGCAACTCGAATTTCAAAATAGGATATTTACATATATACATAGATGAGAGACTCAAAACTAACTAACTGACTATCTATGAAGCCTCTAAAATACTGAGATGGATGTTGGGACAGAACCCACAACACCCTAATAAAACAAAACTAATAACACAAAATAATTGAGTCCTCCGGAATGCAAGGAGGCTCACCACTGACTCTGGAGTGCTCAGCTGGATCAACGACATGCTGGATGCTGATCTTGGGTACTTGTGTCTGCATCATAATAAGATGCAGGCCAACTAGCATCAGTACATGGAATGTACGAGTATGCGAGCTGGAAATATAAGCAACAAAGGCTAGAAAGAATTCTGGAAGAAACTGAATATCTTACTTGGCTCAACTCAACTCAACCTGACTGACTTCTTTCAATATAAGGCAATTTAAAAACAAGTGCGATATAAAGAAAGACTGTTTAAAAACCTGCTATAAACTCTGTGTGTATACAAAGATACAATAAGCCTGAGATGTATATAGAAATACAAATGAACTGATGTATACAAAAATACAATAATTTCTGTGTATGAAAATACAATAACTGCTGTGGGAGTTTCTCTAACCGACAACCATCACATAAGAGCTATAGTGATGATACAACGATCGACCTCATGCTGCCAGAGCATTCTATACTCGGCCAAAGGTATAAGGCTTGAACTGCCTAATGTATCCACTAGTCTATCTGGAAAAGGTTTCATCTAAAAAGTATGATCATTTTCTACCCATGGTGGCTAACATGGTTCTATGGGGGCTAGGGGTTCTTTGAACTCTCCCCCAATTCGGTGCTAGATACTACTCCCAAAAAAAAGTACTGGCTCTTATGTTTTTAAAACATATATCTTTCTGCTTATTTGAGATAATTACTCAAAAACTAGCCCGAAGGCTCTTTGGAAATCTCAGTTTCCAACCTTGTTTAAATATAAAAACATTTCTTTAAAACTTATTTGGGAATACATAGTTCCCTAAAAACTTTGAGAAATGAACTCAACTTTATGTTCTTGACTTAACTTGAAACTCTATACTCATTGCTTGACTTGCAACTTGAGCCTTAGAATGAAGTTAAAACGTTCAATAGAGACTCTTGAACAACTTTAAAAACTTGCATTGACTCACTTCTTTAACTTCTAGACTTTACTTTTAATTTCACTTGACTTGGAAACTAACTCTCCTTGAATTGGAATTTGGATTCAAGGTATATGATCACACGTTTATGGATGATTCCTTGATGTTTTGAAGTACTTTGGAGTGTTGGAAACAACTAGGAAACATAGGTACAACACCAAGGAACATGCACGAGAAAGGATGAAAAGAATGGGGGAACTTGGCGTCCTTGGCGCTCTGCAAGGCGCGGAGCGCCATCCCTTGAAGCTCAGAAGACCACTGAGGCGCTCTGTAGGGCGCGGCGCCCCAAAGGGTGAAGTTCAGAACACTTCTTGGGGCGCTCTGCAAGGCGCGACGCGCCACCCCTTTTCCCCGACAACTTCGACTTTTCTCCTTCCTTTCTCCAACTCTAAACCTTCTAAACTCCAAGGTTTCCAACCCCAAAAATTTAGAATCATAAATACCTCAACATACAGTAGATTTTAACCCAAAACTCAACCGGAAACATGCCCAAATCAACAAGGGACTTCAACAACACAATCAAAAACATCAACAACACAACCAAACAACTTCAACAACATATCCAATATTTTCTCAATAATAAAAATGAGTTTGGTGTATGGGGGAAAGGATCAACCCAACACTAAGACTCACATACCTAGTGGGGATCACCCCCAACGATATCCACGACGGAAACTTGCTTGATCTCCTCTTTCTCATCTTCTTCTCTTCTTCACTCTCAAGCCTTAGCTCTCACTCTTTAAAATGGGACCAAATGATCCAAAAATCAGCCTAACACAACAATATAACCCCAAAAGAAATAGCTAGGGAAAAGACCAAAATGCCCTTAAAATTTCCGGACGGATTCCCTGCCAACTGCCCAACTTTCAAAGGGAATAACTCGCTCATACAAACTCGGAATCAAGCAAACTCGGTGGTATTGGAAAGATCATTCCACAAGCTTCACAATCATAACTAGAAATACTCCTAACTCATCCTGAGCTAGGAGTTATGACTGCTCAAAGTTGGTCATACCTCATTGATTTCCCACACTTAACCAAATTTCCAGATTTTGAATTTTTATTCCAAAAATGACTATTTCTGATATTTAAGCCTCTTCATAGTTATTTCAACTTACCTGATGTTACAGTATTGGGATCTTAGGTTGGTCTAGGGTTAATAATGTTGATTATAATCCGGGTAATTACGCCTCGTTTATTGATCCTTGCATTAATTGTATATTTTTAGACCACGAACTAGCGGGAAGAATCCGAAAAGGGAAGATTCAAGTGTCTTAGGGGATTCGAGCTTGGATTCGAGGTAGGTGATGATTGTGATTTCATATTTGTGTGATATATGTTTGTAATTGCTCATTATAATGCATGTAAAGCTGTCAAAAAGGGACGGCCCTGCCTCACTCGGCCCAAGCCTCGCGGGCCAAAGAATTTGAAGGGCTAGGGCGGGCTGACCCTTCATTTGGTAGGGCCTGAAAATGCTCAACCCAACCCAACCCTAGAAGGGCCGAGGGGTGGAGCGGGCTAGCCCTTATTTTTTTTTTTTTCTTCAAATTTGTAATTCTATAACATCAAGAAAATGAGATGATTTTCACATCAAATATGACAAACAATGGTGTTTTTTCAATAACACTAGCAAAAATTTAGTGTAATTACACATGTATCTCGCATACCAGTTATGCAAGTGAGATAAGAGAGTGACAAGCAAGATGGGAAAGATGCGAGGGAATTAAAGAGATTTGTATATGTATCCTAGATACATGCGAATCTACTTTGATAGAGTGTATCTAGAATAAATTAACCTAATTTTGAGTCCATATATTCTGAGATACATGTATCTGGATATGAAGATTCATAATATTACAACATAGAATGTATTCAAATTATTAGATTAAGTACTAGTGAGATTATAGTAAATTACTCTTGAATAAAAAGTTTTGGCCCATGGGCAGACCCTGGCACAGCCCTGATTAAGCCTCAAGGGCCAAAAGCTTATATGGGCCGGGTTTATAAGCCCTAATTTTAAATGGGCTTGAAAAATCCAATCCCAACCCTACCCCAATAACGGGTAGGATTGGGTCGGCCCCATAGGCTAATTCCAATTGGTATCTGGCCTTAGGGGTCGTATAAGGCATGTATTATCAGTAATGGTCGTCTATGGAATGAACTAATTAAAGAATTTGGACTTATCTGCAAGTTGTAAATGCTTGAGTGTCGTGAAACTTGTTGCGAAAAGAAAGTCATCACGAGATTACATGCAAGGGTCTAGATAAATTACGATGTGATTTGTAAGAGAGA